CAAAATTACGATTACTTGCCCAAAAATGTAGTGCAAGTAAAGTAAAAGTATCTGTTGTAAATATTACTCGTATAATGAGTAAAAAAAAGACCTTTTAAAGGTAAAGGTACTCAAGAATAGTGTGTAGTGATTGTACGCTGTGAAAAGGTGATGCGTTTGCATGCAATTTTGTGCAGGGATGTGTAAATGTAACATTATGTAGTGCATTCAGTTATCTTCCTATATTCCTTTCTTCCTTCGTTTTTTCATTCTGTCCTTCCTTTATTCATTCGTTTGTTTGTTTTTTTTCTTCATTCATTTTTTTCGGTAATTTTTAAAATTTATTTATTCCTTCTTTCATTTCTCCCTTCATTAGTCCACTCATTCATTCATTCGTTCATTCTTTTGTTCATTCATTAGGTCCTTTGTTCATTCATTCGTTCGTTCGTTGCTTCCTTCTGTCCTTTCTTCCTTCCTTTGTTCAGTCCTTCCTTGAATCCTTCCTTCATTCATTTGGTCCTTCCTTTTTTCATTAGTTCAGTCCTTCTTCCTTCATTTGGTCTTTCCTTCCATTCCTTGTTCGGCCCTTGCTTCATTCGGCCCTTCTTTCCTTTCTTCTTTTACTCCATTTAGTGATTGTTTAAGGCTGTTTGGTGATTTCAGTCATCATCATACAGTCGACATCCTTAGTTTTCTCATCAGTGACATGCAGTCTATAAACAGTCCCTGGATCATTGTGAGTAAAGATTTTAGACATCTTCTTGGACATTTTAAATTCTTTCAAAAAGGTTTGGTGCATTTATAAATTGCCCATGTCTTCTGTTTGTTCAGTCTGATGCGATTTACTTTCTGTGTGCGATTTGATTAACAGGAATAACAGGACTGATTTTTCTACTTTAGCCAATCACCATAGACAAGAAATAATAAAGTTGTGACTGCAGGTTGAAGGTAAGTAGTGAAGTAAAAGTACTGATACTACACTAAAAATATACTTGAAAAAGTTAAAAACACATTTTTAAAACTACTGAGTAAATTACAATTACAGTCATTTGAGTATTTGTAATTAGTTAGTTTACACCACTGCTCACAACCATGCACATAGGGATTGCCCCGCAACAGGTTTTCCAAAGTAATGTTTATAAGTAAATGCGACTTTTTAACCTCTGCTCAGTATGTGAGGTGTGCTTTTTTAAAAGTTTTGTAATAAACACTCCAGGGTTTTACGAATGAGTATTTTAAAATGACCCTGTGTTAATGAACATTTTGAAGTATCCCATGAGAATCGAGTGATGGTAATTTGTAGTAAAAATTAGGATAAGGTTTTGCTTATTAATAAGAAATAAATTCTTGTTAACTGTTGGTTACCAACACAGTCAGCTGCTCTAACAACTTGATGGAAACACCTAATTTGCATTTTTAACACTTTTTTTCGTAAAGATTATGAAGAAAACCCGATATAGGACCTATAAAAGGATAAAACAATTATTTTCATTTTTTGAGGTGTTTCCAATAAGATAATTCAACTATTTTGCACAGTTTATATTTATGGTTTAGACCTGTCATGGACAAATATATATGCCACAAAAATTAGCAGTAGGAGAAATACATTATTTTCACCAGCCAACATACATTTACACAACACTGACCTTCACCCATGACTTACAAACAAGCCCTGCGGAGAAACACAAGACTCACACCATTGATTTTCCCTCACCTGGATAGCACATAAAAGAATATTGTGTGATTAATAGGTGTTCATACAGGTATACAAATTATTTTAAATGACAAAGCCCAATGTTTTGCCTATGGATAGAAGCAACATATTTAATCCACTGAATTATGCACACACTGGTAATCAATCAGTCAGGCTGGCGAAAATAACCCAGATAATGTAATCGTGACCCCATCACATGGCTAGTTTAAAGCAAATAAAACAATCTCAGGGAACATATTATTGACATTATCTTATTACAAAGCCAGTGTTTCCTTCTGTGTCCAGGTGCACATTATCACCAGCCTCCAGATGGAGAGATTTTTCATATATGCTGTCCAATATACGACACATGCAATTCAGTCAAATGCACACGATTCCAAAAATAAAAGGGGTTATATGCACAAATAAACATCTTTATTTTACAACAGAAAATATTTTATGAAGACTCAAGAATCACAGTACAGCCCCAAAATACTAATTCATTTTGATTTTAATGCTGGGTTGCACAGGAATCCTTCATGTGTTATCTTATTCGGGGGTTGTTGTTGTGTGTTTTTTTATTTTTTACAGTGGATAGAACAAAACAATTAAGTTTCCCCAAAAAAGCCTTAAGAATTGTGTTGTTTTAACTCATTTTAGGAATAGCTAAGAGATATAGCTAAGAGTTTGTCTTATAATGCCACTTTGGATTAGTCAATTTACTTATTGTTATATATTGTTGGTCTTTAGATGGCGGGAGGAAACCGGGGAACCTGGGGAAAACCCAGGTGAGTACAGGGAAAACATGCAAACTCCGCACAGAAATGCCGACTGGCCTGGTAAGGGCTCGAACTAGTTGCTTTCTTGTTTTGAGGCAACATTGCTAACCAGCGGGCTGCCGTGGCGCCCTATCAGGAGGAGTAGGGGTGGGAGGGAGAATTCTTCAAGACGAAGATGACTATAGAAAAAAAACTCTGGTTATTTACAGTATAGTGAGTCAGTGTTCATCTGATTTGTGCAATATGTGAATCTAATGCGCGACCAGTTGTGATCAATCATAAGCAGGTGATCCTTTGGAAATTAGTTTATAAATAAGCTGCACATAATGACACTGAGCAGGATGACTTAATTTTTTATATATAATTGAATTACTTTTTACACATTTAGGTGGATTTAACATCAAAACAATTAAGAATTGTGTTGTTTCAGCTCAGGGCTACATGGTGGCAGAGTGGGTAGTGCTGTCGCCTCACAGCAAGTAGGTCGCTGGTTCGAGCCTCGGCTGGGTCAGTTGGCAATTCTGTGTGGAGTTTGTATGTTCTCCATGTGTTCTCGTGGGCTTCCTGCAGGTGCTCTGGTTTCCCCCACAGTCCAAAGACATGCGATATAGGTAATTTGGGTAAGACAAAATGTCCGTAATGTAATTCAAGAGTTTATGCTTAGCTGATGGCTATAAAGCTTGTGTGGCATGCTGGTGAGAGCCCTGAGCTCATAAGATCCTCGAGCCCAGGGCTCCCTCGCGTTTGCAAGGGGAGAGGGGAGTTTGAGCTCAGGTAGATGTCGAGAACTCTCCTGCTATAGTAGCTAATGAACAGATAGCGATTGCTCTTAAGAGATAACTACTTACAAGGAGCATGTCTATGGTGTCGATTTGGATTACTCAATTTACTTAAGTTGCATGTTTTTGGATGGTGGGAGGAAACTGGGGAACCCGGGGGAAACCCACATGAGCACGGGGAGAACGTGTAAACTGCACAGAAACATCGGCTGGCTTGGTAAGGACTAGAACCAGTGACTATATGGCTGTGAGGGAACAGAGCTAACCACTGGGCCACTGTGCCACCCATCTAGGAAAGGAAGAGGAGTAGGGATGGGAGGAGGGATTCTTTAAAACGAAGATGGCTGTCATATGGAACTTAGGGTATTTATAGTAGCTTAGGAATCGACTGATTGGTGAATCATGAATTGAATAATGCGGGGCCCATTGCAAGCAATCATAAGCATGTGATCCTCTCGAAATTAGTTTATAAATAAACTTCACATGTATGTGTATGAGAGTTTATGGGTGTTTCTCAGTGATGGGATATGTAAACGATATGCTGGATAAGTTGGCGGTTTATTCCACTGTGGCGACCCCTAAATAATAAAGGGACTAAGCTGAAAAGAAAATGAATGAATGTTTTGGCTCGTTTTAAATAAGTTGTTTGAACAAACAGCAAACACCATTTTTTGAGTGAATGTTGTCTCGCTTTTCCATAAATGTATCTATTACTCTGAATTATAATCAAACATAAATTTTGACTTTTTTTTATAAAGCTTATTTAAAACATGAATGAAGGATCTTGCATTTAATATGTTTTTATATATACATAAATTATTGTTTGGTCATTTAATTTGATGCAGACAATCATTTTAAACATAATTTTTTTACAGTATTTAATACAGATGAAGTCAGAATTATTAGCCCTGCTGAATTATTACCCAGTGTATATATTTTTTTCCTAATTTCGGCTTAATGAAAATAAGTTTTTTCAACAAATTTCTAAACATAATACTTTTTTCTGTAGACAGTCGAAAAAGAAAATTGCTTTACGGGGCTAAAAATATTTATTAAAATGGGTAAAAAAATAAAACCTGCTTTTATTTTAGCCGAAATAAAACAAATAAGACTTTCTCCAGAAGAAAAAAATATTATAGGTAGTACTGTAAAAAATGTCTTGCTCTGTTAAACATCATTTGGAAAATATTTGAAATAAGAAGAAAAAGAATAAAAGGAGGATTTTGTCTTCAACTGTATAAAGTAAATACTTTATTATGTCCATCATGCCTGCAGTTTAAACTGCAAAAACAACAAGAACTAAATTATGGAAATTAAATTAATTAATTCAAAATACTGTATTGAGTATTTTATTTTCATGACTGTAACATTAATGCTCTATACATAAGATATATTTCATTCATAAACTGTTTGTTCATTCTAAGTCACTGAATAACCAGTTTAGGTTACAGGATAACTAGGTGATCAGTATCACTGTAATATACAGTTCAATAATATTTATATATTTATACATATATATTCAGTCTTTAAAGAAATTAAGTTGTCATTAGGGTCCATTTTCTTATCATTGCTGTTGTTGTCATTGTATAATCATATTTGTCGTATAATACTCTAGCAGGAGGAAATCTGTTATATTATGGAGGCCGGAATTGCGCAGTGCTTGGATACCTATTTACCCGTCAAGTGCCTGGGTAATAATTGATAGATTTCCTGAGAGGACAACAACAAAAAAAACGGGCCCAGATGGGTTACACCACAGTGAGGTAAGAGATTCAGCTCACTCCTTTAACATTTACAACACAGTCCAGTTCTCTGACACCATGAAAGTGACATGGATTCCTCTGCCGCTCGTTTTGTTCTGTCAATTTCAGGGCACAGCATCTGATCCAGGAGCAGGACAGCACACATGGGACACATTCAGCAAACTTCCATATCCCGACGACAAAGCCTTCCTCTATGACACCTTTCCTGATAAGTTTATGTGGGCCGTCGGCACCGCTGCATATTCAGTGGAAGGAGCCTGGGAAAAAGACGGGAAGGGTAAGTCAATCTGGGACACTTTTACTCGAGGAGGGACCCGAGTGTCCAGAGGAGACGTTGGTAGCGATAGTTATCATAACATCCCTGGAGACCTTCGAGCTCTTCAGCAACTAGGAGTCAGTCATTATCGGTTCTCCTTGTCCTGGCCACGCATTTTCTCCAATGGCACTAAGGAAAGCTACAACGACAAAGGTGTGGAGTATTATAAAAATCTGATCCGGGGTTTGAAGGACATTAAGGTGCAGCCTGTTGTCACTTTGTATCATTGGGACCTGCCTGACAGTTTGCAGACGCTCTTTGGAGGCTGGAGTAATTCGGTTATGGTGGAGCTGTTCAGAGACTATGCCGATTTTTGCTTTAAGACATTTGGATCGGATGTGAAATTTTGGATCACTATCGACAATCCTTTTGTCGTGGCCTGGCATGGATATGGAACTGGGGTTGTGGCTCCGGGTATCAAGAATGACTCTGATTTGCCTTTCAGAGTCGGACACAATCTGCTGAAGGTAATAAGTGTCACATGCTGAAATGTTTGTTTGGAATTAAGAGTTTAGATATTGAATAGATATTTTAGAGTCGAGATACCGAATGGAAGGCAGAGAAAATTGCACACATACTATATACAGTGCTCGGCATATATAAGTAAACCCCTTACATCTTTTAAATTGATATTTTTAGGAAGCTATACAATATTATATTTGTTCACATACTTTAGATTAGTTAGTACTGAAGTCAAATCTGGAGCTCATCTAACAAAATAACTCACGATAACTGTCCAAAAACTAGTACACCAAAATTGATATGTTATAAAAAATAATATTTATTACAAACTTAAATCTGTTTAATAAATCTGTTTTTTTTTAAATGCATTAAAATACACTACCTATGTTCTCTGACAAATGGATAAAAATATTCATTTTCAAAATGGGGTGTACTCAGTTATGCTGTGCACTGTATGTGTAATCGTATTTATTTCATTCATGTATAAAGCCTTTTATTTCAGTTGTTTCAGTATCAGAAAAAATCTATGTTTAAAAAAGATAAAAGTAATATTTGATGAGCCTAAGAGACTTCTTTTTAGCAAAATTGAAAAATAATTCAGTCTGGTATGTAAAACCTCTTCTGGATTTTTATTTATATATTTTTTTCAAATATTTTCAAATAATTAACCTTTTATTTTTCAATATTTTTCATTTGGGGCAGCACGGTGGCACAGTGGGTAGCACAATCACCTAACAGCAAGAAGGTTGCTGGTTCGAGCCCCGGGTGTCCAAAGACATGCAGCACATTGGATATACTAAAAATTGGCTATAGTGTATGTGAGTGTGTGCAAGAGTGTGTGGATGTTTTCCAGTGTTGAGTTGTAGCTGGAAGGGCATCCGTTGTGCAAAACATATGCTGGATAAGTTGGCGGTTCATTCTGCTGTGGTGACAGAAGATTAATAAAGGGACGAAGCTGAAAAGAAAATGAATGAATGAATTTCGAATTTCTCATGTGATGACCTAACAGAGCAAGACAAATTTTCCCAGTATTTCCTATTAATTACTCTTATTATTCCTATTATATATAGCTATTTAAGCCTAGTTACGAAATATTTGTTTTTCATTAAAGAACAAACCACTGTTTATCAATAACTTAGTTAACATAATGAGTTAAGCCTTTAAATATCACTGTAAGCTGAATACTAGTGTCTTGCAAAATATCTAGTCAAATATTATGTACTGTCATCATGGCAAAGACAAAGGAGTTAGTTATTAAACATTTATTTTACATCAAATTATTTGGTTATTTGATTTCTTGTGACAATAAAGTCAGTTTTTCCATCAAAGCACTAAGTTAAATTCTGAAATATATTTACACAGAAAAAATAATTTTAAGGTAAATAATATTATGAAAAATCTTTAAATTGATAAATGTCCAATAAAATTTATTTACATAAAAATATAAAGAAATAGGTAAATAAGTCATAAAATGACAAAATATTTCACAATATTATTCATACATTGTATTTTAAGTCAAATAAATACAGCATCTTCAACCATAAGTGATTTTTTTTTTAACTAAAGAAGCATTTGGCTTCTATTGTACAGTTGGAATTATTAGCCCTCCTGAATTATAAGCCCCCTGTATATTTTATTCCCCAATTTCTGTTTAACGGAAATAGGATTTTTTCAACATATATTTAAACATTCATTTATTAATTTTCCTTCAGCTTAGTCTTTTTATTCATAAGGGGTCACCACAGCGGAATGAACCGCCAACTTATCCAGTATATTTTTTTACATAGCGGATGCCCTTCCAGCTGCAACCCCATTACTGGGAATCATCCATACACACTCATTCACACTCATACACAACAGCCAATTTAGTTTATTCAATTCACTTATAGCGCATGTCTTTGGACTGTGGGGGAAACCGGAGCACCCAGAGGAAATCCATGGTGACCACTCCACACTGCCAAAATGCCCTGCCGGGACTTGAATCAGCAACCTTGCTGTGAGGCAATAGTGCTTACCACTAAGTCACCGCGCCGCCCCATTTCTAAACAGAGTAGTTTTAATAACTAATTTCTTTTATCTTTGCCATGATAACAGAAAATAATATTTGACTAGATATTTTTCTAGACACATCAATACAGCTTAAAGTGACATTTAAAGGCTTAACTAGGTTATTTAGGTTTACTTGGCAGGTAAGGGTAATTAGGCAAATCATTGTATAACCATGGTTTGTTCTGTAGACAATCAAAAAAAAAAATACTGCTTAAGGGGGCAAATATTGACCTTAAATTGTTTTTTAAAAAATTAAAAACTGCTTTTATTCTAGTCGAAATAATACAAAAAAACTTTCCCAAGAAGAAAAAACATCATAGGAAATACTGTGAAAATTTTTTTGCTCATCATTTGGGAAATATTTAAAAAAGATAATTATAGAAATAATAAATTTGACTTTAACTGTATATACTGTACATATATATAACAAAAACATGTTTTCAATTGTATTCTAGGCTCACGCTGCAGCCTGGCACCTGTATGACGAGCGATATCGTGCCGCTCAGGGTGGGAGAGTGTCCATGGCTCTGGGATCTCACTGGATCAAACCCAGCAGAACCAGACAGGAGAGCCGCAAAGCCTGCCAGCGCTCTCTAAACTTTGTGCTTGGCTGGTTCGCCCGTCCCTTGTTTGTAGATGGAGATTATCCACCCTGCATGAAGGACAATCTGACCCACAGACTGCCGTCCTTCACCGAGGCCGAGAGCGCGTATGTGAACGGAACCGCCGACTTCTTTGCTCTGTCTCATGGACCTGCTCTTAGTTTTCAGCTGATCAATGACAGTCTGCGCTTCGGCCAGACTGAAGATTTGGGTCTGAGAATGCTTTTGTACTGGGTCCGTGCAGAGTACAACAATCCTCCCATCTTTGTGGTGGAGAGCGGCTGGTATGGAAGTGGCAACACCAAAACAAAGGATGCCAAGCATATGTACTATTTAAAGCGCTTCATTATGGAGACGCTAAAAGGTATGTGGATGAATGAGGGGGTTTAATGATATTGTGAGGGTTTATTTGATGTTTAAGGGTTGGTTTGTGCCAGTGGTGGAAGGAGTATTGAAAAATCATACTTAAGTCAAGTCAAGCTTTAATGTCATTCTGCTACATGTGTTGACATACAGAGGAACGAAATGTTGTGTCTTGCAGGACAACGGTGCTACATAAATTAATCATATACAAACACCACACTGGACATGAGCTATTTAAATAAAACATATGCATAACTAACATATACCATAAGATACTTAACTATACACATAAGACAGGCTATACAAGTACTTTTACATGAGACTGAACAATGTTGTGCAGAATATTGTTTCTACAGTGTTTTTACAGGTGGTTTGTCAAGCCCACTCACTCATATGAAGCACAATTTATAATGCACAATGTTTCTAAGGGACAAAAATTGTCTATAGTGCAAATTAATAACTTTTTTGTTTTTACTTTAATCCAAGGTTAATCCAACATTCATAACAATTGCAGAGAGATCACCTCCTGTGTCTTTCAAATCACGTGTATGAAAGCATTATGGCTTCCCTGTAAAATATAATGATGACGAAAGAAGTTGTGGTGGGACTGACCTTAATGCTGTCTTAGGTTATTAATTAAAGGCGTTTTCTGTCACTGTTTGTTTAGCCTGCATAAATGCATTCAGTTGTAAAGCTGCACAATAAATCATTAAGAAACTGTGATCTCAATTCAAACCTGTGCAACATGAATGACAAATGATAATAATGATTTGCATATGTTTATTAATCCTAAGCACTGCATTCAGACCTGCGTTTAATCGAGAGAGATTCAGTTTTTACACTTTTTCAATTCGTTACAAACAATTAAATAACACAGAAGTACTGGGAGAACAGTTTATAGTTCAGATATAAACACTGATGTTTATGGTGAAGATTAAAATCACAGTTTAATGGAACTTGATGCTGGGGTTGTAGCAATTTCATTGTTTAACCAATGGGTGGCGACAAACAACCATCAAAATTATGTCACAGAATAGGTTTTTAAAAGTGATCCACCTTTAATGACACATGAAGTTAAAAACCATGAAGTTATATTTGAATTATTGAATCATTAACTGAAAATAAATATGATTAGTTGTACAAGATGTTAGATTTCTATATTTAGTATTATCAGCAACAGTAGCAAAGGTCATTTTTTGTAATGAATATTTTCCATTTTCAGCTGTTTCTTTCTTGATTTTTATTTTTTTATTAAAATTACAGGTTCTACGTTCTGTTTGTTAAAACCAATTGGTTTTTGCTGTAATGTATTTGTATAAATGGAAACCAAATGACATTTGTCTCCTCCCCTTTTTTTGCTGATCCGAAAAATGATCTGATCCGTGACTCAAAAACCGTAGTGTGATTCGACACAGTAAGATGTGTAGTCTGTTACATCAGTACTGTTTTTAACAATTCAGATTTCAAAGTCAATCATCAACATACATTTTCTTGTCTTTCCAGCAATCCATGTTGACAGGGTGAATGTGATTGGCTACACGGCCTGGTCTCTGCTGGATGGATATGAGTGGTACCGTGAATATGCGATACGCAGAGGGCTGTTCTATGTGGATTTCAACACTCCTGATCTGAAGAGAGAGCCGAAGGCATCTGCCACTTTCTATAGCAAACTCATAGAGAAGAATGGCTTCCCTCAGCTGCCAGAGAACCGCCCTGCACACGGTGCATTTCCCTGTGACTTTGCTTGGGGAGTGGCTGCCAACTCCATACAGGTACAACTTTCCCTGCTTATCACGTTTAAAGGTGCTCTAAGTAAATTTTGCCAAATTAAAAGGAGTGGGATCATCACTATACTCTACCTGACAAAAGTCTTGTTGTCGATCCCAGTTGTAAAGGCAACAAATAATTACTTGACTTCTAGTTGATCGTTTGAAAAAGTGGCAGAAGGTCGATTTTTTTTTTTTTTTTTTTTTTTTTTTTTTTTTTTTTTTTTCCAATGAATCATCTGTTGAACTGCATCACAATCATCACAAATACTGCAGAAGACCTATTGAAACTTGGAAGTTTTTTTAATAAAAAATCATGGTTTGGGGTTACATTCAGTATGGGGGCGTGCGAGAGATCTGCAGAGTGGATGGCAACATCAACAGCCTGAGTTATCAAGACATTTGCGCTGCCCATTACATTGCAAACCAGAGGAGAGGGCAAATTCTTCAGCAGGATAGCGCTCCTTATCATACTTCAGCCGCCATATTAAAGTTCCTGAAAACAAAGAAAGTCAAGGTGCTCCAGGATTGGCCAGCCCAGTCACCAGAGATGAACATTATTGAGCATGTCTGGGGTTAGATGGAGGAGGAGGCATTAGATGAATCCAAAGAATCTTGATGAACTCTGGGAGTCCTGCAAGAACGCTTTCTTTGCCATGACTTTATTAATAAGTTTTTTGAGTCATTGCAGAGATGTATGGATGCCGTCCTTCAAGCTCATGGGAGTCATACACAATATTCATTCTTTTTCCACTTCAGCATGACTTTATAATCTATACTGCACATTATTTCTGTTAAGTGACTAGACTTTTGTCTAAGCAAAGTCAGGCCTTACTGTCCTAACTAAATAACTAACAATCAAGGCATGATCATATTTTATTCTGGTAAAATGGGCGTAATCTAGTGTCCTTTGCCTTTTATATAAGCCACTTCTGATACCAAATGATCAACTAGAAGTCAAATTATTATTTGCTGTTCCTAAAACTTGGATAGGCGACAAGACTGAGGTAGTGTAATTATGCCACGTCTACTGAGTAATTTTTTTTAATTCCGGGTAATCTTGTTGGATTCGCTTCTCAGATACCAACTAGATGAACATCTGGACCACGATGCTGCTATTCACATGTTGCTTGCAGTGGTAAATTATTAGTGGGCATCAACCACACAGTAGTAGCTGTTGCTGACTATTTAAATATAATGGCTTTGTTGTCTTGTCACAAATCCAATGATGCTAGTGATTCTCTTGGAACAATCGTTAATCAGCAGTATGAATATGTCACATTTTGATAGCAGTAAATTTTGAAGTACAGGTGGTACTAAAAAAGTAAACTTTGTACAGAACGCAGTGGAAAACTCCTAAGAGTGAGCCATACTAATCCCTGCCTCAACCTGCTGTGAAAAAGCACCTTATTAACAATATTGTGAATTTATTAATAATAGATTTTATTATTGTCAATGCCGAAAGCATTGAAAACAGATTTTTTTGGTGGAAACAATGATTTTTCATGGATTCATTAATAAAAAAAAAGTAAACGCCATTTGGATTTTAATCTTCATTGATGCACAATGTCTCTTTTTTAAATTTAATAATAAAACAACTTTGATACTACTAAAAAAGACTCACTGCACAAATTTACTCAAAATTAAGGAAATGGCCGGACTTTGTACACCACAGTCCAGAACATCAAACCTACTGAATTGTTTTTGTTTGTCCCGTTCAAGGGTCATTTTTGCAGAACTTGTACATTTACCTTTAACTCTGACCTTGGTTTAAACTTCAAACACTATTAAACATCATTTGCAGTTCATTCTATTGAAATTCACCATCTGAAATCATCCTGTTTTATAGGTTGACACTACCCCTACGCAGTTCACCGACACTAATGTTTACATCTGGAACATTTCTGGAAACGGAGAGCTGAAAAAGCTCCCTGGGCTGCAGGCGCCCCATCTGCGCAGGACACCCCACTGCGCCGACTACGGCAGCATCCGTCAGCAGGTGTCTGATCTACTCCGAATGCAAGTCTCCCATTTCCATTTCTCCCTCAACTGGTCCTCCATCGTCCCCACAGGCCACGTGTCTGATGCTAACGAAACATTGCTAAGATACTATTATTGTTTTGTCAGCGAGCTACAAAAAGTGAACATAACCCCTGTGGTGACTCTTTGGCACCATACAGGGAAACTGTCCAGCCTTCCAGCACCAATGGAGGCCAGTGATGGCTGGCAGAGCGAGAAGACTGTCCAGGCCTTTGTGGACTATGCTAGGTTGTGTTTCCATCGACTAGGAGCTCATGTCAAGCTCTGGATCACACTCAATGAGCCCAACGATGAGGATCTTGAATACACTGTAGGTCACCAGCTGCTACGTGCACATGCTCTAGCTTGGCACGTCTACGACAGAGAATTCCGCAAGGCCCAAGGTGGCAAAGCATCACTGGTTCTTCATATGGATTGGGTCGAACCTGCATTTTCATTCAACAGGGAGGACGTGGCCCCTGCAGACCGAGTCCTGGACTTTCGAGTGGGATGGTTTGCGGAGCCTATTTTCGGTAAAGGCGATTACCCGGCGGTGATGCGTAGCTGGCTCCAACAGAGGAACACTATTGATCTTTTCAACTACCACTTACCCACGTTCAGCGAAGAGGATCGGCTGTTGGTGAAAGGAACCTACGATTTCTTCGCCATCAGCCATTTTACTACCTCGATGGTGTACGATGGAGTGGAGGATAAATACACCTTTAAGGACAAGCTGCAGGTTCAGCTTATATCTGACGTGACCTGGATCATGTCCCCAAGACGCAACTCTCCTGTGGTTCCCTGGGGTCTACGCAAGGCATTGAACTGGGTGAACTCGCGATACAAAGGTGTTCCCATTTACGTGATGGCCAATGGTGTTCAAGAGGATACCGCTAGGTTTAAGGATAGCTTGCGCAGCTATTACCTTTACAACTATGTGAATGAGGCCTTGAAAGGTAAGAAATCATTTGTGTTGGCTTCCAGTAAAGTAGTTCATGCTGATCCCAATTTTTGAAAATGTTTGTAGTTATAGTTTATATGTGGCTCCAATAGCCTAGCGGTTAAGTGCGCTGACATGTTTGACACATTCCTGTCCAAAAAACATTTTTAAAATTAATCAAATAAAGAATTTATACTTTTGCGTCAAGCGCACATGTATGGTTTTGCACAGCCTTCGCACGGTCGCATGGCCTTCGCCGTGGCTGACACCGACGCGCACCTCTCGAAAAATGTAATTACACATTGCAATGACGTGTAGCGCAAGCTCTGTGATTGGTCGGCTTGGTAGCTGTGACGAGCGTGGGCGGTGCTGATAGCCGCAAGCCCGATGGAGCTAGTGTTTACAAGTGTTGAGTCCTTTGAAGGAGCTCCAGATAGAAACTTTTGTTTTGTGTTTACCTTATGATTAAGGTTGTTGCACGTCCACCGATTCCATCCTCTGAGTAAGCGAGTTTTAGCTACTTCTACATCAAGGTAGCGTTCAGAAAAAACAAAACATCCATGAAGAAACTCGACACAGAGGAACATAAAAGCTTTCTGCCAGCTAGCGTTTCGGAAGTGTTATTGCAGAGCAACACAAACAATGCGCAGAAGTATAAACGCACGGTTACGTACAAGGCAGGCGCCCTGGATTACGGTAATCACTCGACGCAGAAGTATACACCAGCCTTAAGCCGAATGAAAATTAATAAATGAAATAAAAAGGTGTTTAAATGTGTTTAAAAGGTGTTTAAATGTAGAATTTTGTGCACAGGTTTTGGCAAAGTTTTTTTTTTACAGTTTCTCGCTATAAACTAAAAAAAGGCAGTTTACAGCAGTACATTGTTTTAAAATCAACATTTAGATGCATATGTAAATGTTCTCTTAAAGGGACAGTTCACCCAAAAATGAAAATTCTTGTTTACGTACATTTCACTTGTTCAAAACCTATTTATGAGTTTCTTTCTTCCGTTAAACATATAAGAGGATGTTTTTTAAAAATACTGGTTGCTGCATTCATTTACTTCCGTAGTTTTGTTTTTCAACTATTGAAGTGGATTAGTGCCATCAACCATTCTTCAAAATAACTTCTTTTGTGAATGAAAATTAATGAAACCAGCAAAAATAACTGCGGTGAGAAAACAGCAGTAAGGGATATAACAGAGGGGTCACAGTGGTAAGGAAAAGTAAATGTAAATGATAGTTTGCATGATAGTTGATTATTGAAGTATAATGGAGACTAAACACTCGATAGATCTTAGATTATAATTTGAATTATTTAATTATATATTATTAACATTATCTAATTAATCTAATATATTTTATCTAAAATAAAATAAACAATTTACAGATTTAAACAGTTTTAATGAAAGAACATGTGCTAATTATAATATAAATATATATGCAAATTATTATATAAATATTATTACGTTTATTGAATAATTAAATGTGTTTATACACACACAAATATATTAAATGTCATAGATGTAATTATTACTATTATTATTAATTATTATTATTATTAATATTAATATTATTCATGGTCATTTTATAGATCGTTTACTTTTTTACAATATCTGCCAATTATCCTAGCTATTTAGTTGTCCAACATCATCTTGTTTAAGATTTATTTTTTGCTACAGTAACACACTTGGAAAAGTTCTGACGAATCAAATTTACGCAGCTTCTATTTAAAGGCACAAAGCTCATGCTGTACACACACACATCCCCACGCAGCAGCTTAATTATTAAGCACAAAACTAGAGAAAGTTTGCTGACCTTAAAAAAAACTAGCACACCGCTCTTCATCTGAGCTTTGGAAAATATTTGTTTACTATTCACAAAACATTGGCCTCATTTATCTTGGTATCTGAATTCGATTTATAGTTACGTCATGAGTTCACTATGGTCATTTTCTAACCTCTGATCTGTTTTTTTTTTTTTTTTAGCATACATGCTGGATGCAGTGAATCTAAAAGGCTATTTTGCATACGCATTCAGTGACCAGCGGGACCCAGGCTTTGGCATGTATGGTCACGTGCAGGAAGAGGTGATTTCAAAATCCTCACTGGGCCATTACAAAAACATTATCCGCCACAATGGCTTCCCAGCCCCAGGCACATCTCAGCATCAGTGTCCCCATGCTCCAGCTCAAGGATCGGGCCGATATGTCCTCACCAAGAAGCCTGTGGTCGGCTTTCTCTCTCTGGTGAGCTCCTGCATGCTCATCACTATGTGCCTTGTTATCTACTATGCATTTAAGAGGCACAAGTTAACCACCAAAAAATGATTGATACAGCTCTGCTGACAATTTTAATTTATTAAGTGGTTTTCTCATTACTGTAGGTCTCTTCACACTGTGCTTAACCCTGTGTTTTTGTTGTATTAAATCGGCACGTGATGATAACCAGTTTATCCAAGTTAAAGTCAAGGAAAAGTCAAGGTTTTAAAACCCCTAAAATGTTCTGCCTTTACAGGTTAAAAAATCTTTATGTTTTTGAAACTATTGAAGACCACAGAAGTCAATCATTTATTTTAATCATTTAACCTGACATTAATTATTTTAACCTGTTTACTGTTTTAAAACATTATAAATGCTTCTTAATATAAAACTTACTGTGTTTAATGGGGGGAAAAGATTGTTGTTTTTTACCCTGACATTTAAAAAAAAAAATTAGGGCAGTAATTACAATACAGTAAATCCGATGTTTTTATGTGAGGTTATCATATAATCAGAATCTTATACCAGCCCATGCCTTGTACTAAACCCCAGTTTTAACCGCAGGTAAAGAAGTGTTTCATATTTGTGATTTAGAAGCACCAGTTCTGTGCTTAACCCTAAACATTCAGCCTGAAATTATATGGCCTTTGAATGTTACATTAAGACCACTCGTCACTTATTTATGTCACAGAAACGGCATAAACTATATAGAAATTGGTGTTTTAGTGTTTAAAGGCAATAATGACAATTGTGATTAAATATAAAAATGCATCAGATGGAGTAAACAGGATTATATATCACAGGATTACATTTATCCAGAGTAAAAATGACCCAGGGTTAACTAATTCAGGTGTGAAAAGCCCTAATGTATGCTATTTATAAAACGTAAATCTGCACAAATTGGGTTTTACCCCTTGCCATTCTCAAGCTAAAGATTTGGACTTTGGACTGGTGCTCATTTAAAGAGATAGTTCACCTGAAAAAATGATAGAAGGATTTGTCATAATGTACTCACTCTCAAGTGGTTCCAAACCTTTGTTAAAGTTTCTTTAATCTGTTGAACACTAAATAAGATATTTTGAAGAATGTTTGAAACTGGCAGCCTTTGTCACGGACTACTAGTTTCTAACATAAATATCTTCTTTTGTTCAACAGAAGTAAGAACCAAAAACAGGTTTAGATCAAATGGCGGGTGAGTACATGATGAGAAAAGTTTTGTTTTTTGGGTGAACTATCCCCTTTAATTGGGGGAGTTTGTAAAGTGGCAATCTAAAACGTTCATTTCTCTGAATTAAATGTGTATAAATGAATACACATTTTTATAAACGAGTCCCCAGGATAGTTATGTAATGGCTAGCTTTAAAATCCTTATTTATTTGTAAAAAGTAAGATATTTGCATTGTTTTGTCAAGTTTGCACGGCAGTTTGGTTTTTGCACGATAAAACATTTATAAGGGAAATGTATTGTATTTGTTTGGCATGTTATAGAGGTTCTTAGTATGATTAGTCTAAATAAGTGATGTTAAAGGGATAGTTCACCCAAAAATGAAAGCGTATTCACTATTTACCAAACTAAAAATATCTATATCAGGGGTGTCCAAACTCTGTCCTGGAGGGCCAATGTCCTGCTGAGTTTAGCTGCAACTTGCTTCAACACACCAGCAAGTAAGTTTCTAGTACAGGGTTGTTCAGATCCGGTCCTGGAAGGCGAGCGTTCAGCATAGTTTAGCTGTATCCCCAATCAGACACACCCAAGCCAGTAATCAAGCACTTACTTTGCTCACTTGAAATGTCCTGGCAGGTGTTTTGAGGAGAGTTGGAGCTAAATTTTTAAGGACACCGGCCCTCCCGGACTGAGTTTGGACACCTGTTTTAGTATATCTAGTAAGAGCTTGGTTAGCTGGTTCAGGTGTCTTGGATTGGGTTGGAGCTAAACTCTCCAGGACACCGGCCCTCCAGGAGTGCAAGTGGACACCCCTGATCTATATCACACCTTCATGTGTTTCGTGTCAAACATGAAAGAAGATATTTTAAAAAACGCTAAAAACCTGTAACTATTGACTTCCATAGTAGGAAACACAAATATTGTCAATGGTTTCAGGTTTCCTGCATTCTTCATAATATCTCCTTTCATGTTTAACACAAGAAAAGAAGGTTAACGGGTAAAGTTGAGTATGTGATGACAGAATTTTCATTTCTGGATGAAGCGTCTCTTTAGAACAGGTCATGTATTTTCTGATGTGTAAATTACATGATCACATGGGTATTAAATAATTGTTAACTGTCTAATTGTCATCACAAGTCCACTTGTGTATCATTGCTTTTTAAGATTAACTGTAACTTATTTGCACTTTTTAAATGATTGTCTCTGAAGTTCCCAGTTTTCATTGTATTTGTGCTTTGTTGTCAATATTTTGCTTATTTCACACATATCCAGAATTCTGTACCCCTTTAACGACATTCCCAGTCACAACAACCGGTCACAAACATTTGTAGATGTCTTTTATTATGAAAAACAGTAATATAATCTCTCATTTACATTTCCTTAGAACATAAAGTTGTCAAGCCCATCTTCCATAAACTTCTTGTAGATGGCCATGAATTTTGCGACGAAGGCCTCCAGGTGGTAGATGGCTTTGTTGCCCAGCTGCAGTCTGTGTTCATAGTAGGCCGCCATCTGAGCCACTTCAGCCTTCAGGTGTCCATCACAGTTACTCAACAACTCAGTCACCAGACCCTAGAACACAATGCACATTTTATTTAACGCTCAAGTTAAAGTGCCAATAATTTCTTTATAATAAAATCAAGCAGCTCTACCTTCATGATGACTTCTGGTGGGATGCAGTGAGTTAGAAGTTCATACAATCGTGCACGAACTTCCAAAAGCCTGCAAATATGAATTAATTTAGTCTCCAGTATATGCAAATAAATAAAGCTGTGGTTAAAAAAAAAAAAAAGCATCGCTATTCTCTCTTGAATGGATTCTCTGGATATATATGAATGTTCAGACCTCTGAGGGCTTTGCTGGCTAACTATAGCATTAGCGGTCTCTCTGAGGTAAACCTCCCAGTCTGTCTCTGGGATGTCCTGGTCTGGAGAGAAGGGATACCTGCAGGAAGCACATTTGGGAACAGATTACAAGCATTGTATGTGTTTGGCGTACTCTTCAGGTGAGTTACTTTCAATCTGAGGCTGAAAATTCATTCTTAATTGTTTTTGTAGAAGTTAAAGTCTCTTACTGTTGAACTCTGCAGGCCTCGCACATCAGCAGGGCCTTACGGAGGTTACGGCCAGATTTCTCTGCGATTTGTTTGGCCAGTTCTGGAGGAAGCAGCAGACCCTCCTTCCTGCACACGCCTGACAGGACACTGCACACCTGAGAGGATGAAGGTTGGATTGTTTTCAGATGATGAATTTATGATGCTGGTCTAATATAAATATATATGTATGAGCAGTTGATGTCAGAATTATTAGCCCTCCTATTAAATTGTTTTTTATTTTTCCCCAATTTGTTTAACAGAGATTTTACTAATAATAAAACTCATTTCTAATTACTGATCTCTAGATATAAGAAAGATTATAGTATTCAGCTTAAAGTGAAATTTTAAGGATTAACTAGATTAATTAAGCAAGTTAGGGTAATAAGGCAAGTCATTGTGTAATAGTGGTTTGTTCTCTAGACAATCTGTAAAAAATATTGCTTAAGGTAGCAAATTATATTGACCTTACTATGGTTTTAAAAAATTGCTTTCATTCTAGTCGAAATAAAACAAATAAGACTTTCTCCAGAAAAAAAAAGATAGGAAACATTTTGAAAATGTCCTTAATGCATTAAATATCACTTAAGAGACATTTGAAAAAAAAAATAATGCGCAGGAAGAGATAATAATTTTGCCCTCGTAATATACGCGACGGCACATCTGATTATTCAGCAGCGCATAATGCTTCAGAAATTCTACAATACTTATTTGGTCAATAAACTTTAGTTTATATGTATAATAATAATAATGCATTCCATTTGTAATGTGCCTTTTTAAACAAATTAATTTTCACCTTACATTTGGTTTTCACACCGAAATTATTGGTGATATATGCATATTATATATTTGTCAAATTTGTCAAGATAAGTTCTTCAGATGTAGAAAAAAATAGTTTATTAGAAAATTTAGCAAAAGGGTCAACAATTAATGGGTTGTACAGTAAAATTAAACATATAAAAACAACACCAATTTAAAAACGAAATAAATGAATGCCTTTTATGAAATATGACTAGGCCAACAATTTTAATAAATTGAATGCTGAATATAAAAGTAGGGCTGAATCATTTAAGCATCGACATCGCAATGTGTATATCCTCAATAATCTAATCACATGATAAGATTATTTATTAAATATTAAAAAATAAAAATATTACTAAATATATATATATATATATATATATATATATATATATATATATATATATATATATATGCATGCAATGATGGCCATGTTATTTTATGTTTGGTTGTTAAATTTCTGTGCCTGAAATTAGAAGCACTGTTTATTTCACTTAATATATTCATTTCGAAATATATATTGCAGCAAAACAACATATCGCAATGCCATATTTTTTCAATATCGTGCCGACCTAATACAAAGTATTCATTTCTTAAAATATAAAAGCTGGTATGCTATTAAAAACAGCAGTGGCGTGAAGTGTCTTTTTCACACTAAAGGCTTCAGCTTGCTGTTTTTGTTCTGATTAACGTTTGTCTCATTCTACTTGTACAACAACACAAAGTGAATATGTTCTCTGATTATTCATGTTTACCTGATGAATATAAAACTACATCACTATAAACATTGACTCCACAATATATTGTTTCAGCAGTGATATCGCAACGTGCAAATCCACATTAATCACATCACAGAATCTGCAATGTCAGTTCTGTTTATTCATCCACTAGGAAATTTAAGTGGGATTACACATTGTGAAGTTTAACCTTATAAAGTGAAATTTGATTGCTTTGGTTGTTAAAGTCTATGACTGTGAGATTTGAAGTGTATGTGTATAAGAAATTATAACATTTTAACAAAGATAGTTTATTTTTTATACAATGAATACTATGCAATGTTATTTATTTATATTTGATCGTTTAATTTCTGTACCTGAATACAGTTAGACTCATTCTAGAACATCATAAAACACTTTCTGCTTGATTTTATGCAGATTGTCGGTCCTACAAAATCATCCCGATCTATATAAAATGATGAATTCTTTTCAAATTTTGCCATGCAAATCATTGGATGAAGTTCACATCGCAATATATATTGAAAAACAAAACATCTCAATCTTTTTTTTTTCCAATATCATGCAGCCAATACGTGGCGAATTGTGTTCACCATGGGTTTAGCTAATCGCAGTGCCTCAACAGGGCCCAGGCCTAGCCAAAAAAAATATTTGAGTGGGCACATGGCCTCGCTGCACCCTCACCTCTTCCACACTTGGCAGAGGGACCCTCACAGCCAGACACCTGCTCCTGATGGGGGCGATTACTTTTGACGTGGAGTTACAGCAGAGGATCAGTCGACAAGTGGCCATGTACTTCTCCATCGTACGGCGCAAGGCATGCTGGGCATCTTTAGTGAGGCGGTCCACCTCCGTGAGCAGCACCACTGTGAATAGATGAGGAAAACAGCTTAGTTATTCAGTGTATTCAGATAAATGATCTAACTTAATGAAAGAAGAAAGCCAAACCTTTGAACTCCCTCTGAGCGCTGGACTGAATCTGCTGAGACTGTGCGACTGTTTTTATCAGCTCCTGAATGACCACGCGGTCACTGTTCCCGGCATCACTGAGGAAAAAAAACACATAAGATGTGAAGAGTCAGATAACACATAGAAATTAAAAACAGGAAATATTTAATTTCTGTTTATTTACATTTAACACCTATTATATGCAAGTGGTGCTCGCTGCAGAGCCATTTGAGGAGAGCTGAGCTCCAGCGAGGGGGAGCATGAGCTTGAGCTCCACCTTTTTTGCACTTCTTCTACGAGTGATGTCACTGGGGGTAGGGTTAGGGGTGGGGTTGGTGTAGCTCGCTGGAGCTCAGCTCTCCTCAAATGGCTCTGCAGCGAGCACCCTCTCATTATATGGGGGACTTGTAAATGTTAAGAGCTTTGAAAATACATTTCAAATGAGAAGAATATAGTCAAATAATAATATCATCTTCATCAGTGGTACCCAAAGTGGGGGTCGCTACTCACCTGGGGAGGCGCTTGGTGATTTCCAAAAATTTAATTCATTTAGTTAAACTATTAGAATTACCATTTTTTATTCACAGCCTACAAAAGACAATAATAGTCCATTTTTATAAACCTTTTTTTTAAATTGGATTGTGACCCCTGGGGTGTTTACATTTATATTAAAGACACAGCAATAGTGTGAGATGCAGCAGATTCATTTTAAGGCACCAGGTTAAACTTTGACAACTTTGGATGTAATGTAATGTATTTTTTATTTAGTGCCATGTCAGCAACCAAGGCTATCTTCATGGCAGGAATCTTTCAACAATAAATATACAATTTAAAAATTAACAAACAAAATAAAACATAAATTTAATAAGATTTTTTGTGTTAATACATGATAAAAATTCTAAAATCTTTTCTGGTTTCACTTTGTCAAAAATGTCCTTAAAAGAGTTCATTTCATAAAAAGTCCTTCTGGAATCAGTAAAAGCAGGACAGTCCAGTAAAATAAGTTTTATAGTAAGAGGAGTTTTGCAGCACAAACACTGAGTAGGGTTTTCACCTTGGAGCAAAAAACCATGTGTAATTCTCGTATGCCCAATACGACATCTGGTAAAAACTACTTGATCAAATCGATTCTTAAAATGTCTTAAAATTCTGTGTGAAATTTCAGGTTGGATTTCATGTAGTTTATTGTTTTCTAATGCATCCCATTCCTTTTGCCACTTGTTTAAAATGTAAGCGTTGATAAAAGGTTTCATCTCTGACGGAGGAATTTGGCATTTGTTCACTACTTGCTTCAAAGCATCTTTAGCAGCTGCATCAGCTCGCTCATTTCCTAAAAGTCCGACATGTCCAGGAACCCGACAACTTTGGAAGATGGTCTACTAGTAGCGGTTTCAAAATTACACCAAGAATAGACTTGGGCCTATGAACCCTTTTCTTTGTTGCTGCTAGAAGGGCACCATAGTGACCAGCGTTTCCGGTAGGATGCTTAGAACTTCCATTTACAGCATTGACAACAGGTAAATCTTGATCCGAAAATGGTTGACAACACTGT